CACATCCAATTGGATTATACTTAAATTCTCACACTTAACAAATATTTACTTACAAGAATCTCTAGGTTTAATTTAAAAAAAAAGTTTATAAATATCAGTTTGAAATCGTTTGTATGCTTCAGCACTGTATTTTTGTATTGGAAAAAAAATTGTCGAAAAATGAAATTTTTGCAATACTTCCTTCCGATGCAGTTTATGACCAAAACTTTGATTGAAACTGATGAGAATCATAATTTAAGACCTTTTGACATCTAAAAATTTTTACTTGGATGCTTCAGTTCCTTTAATTTTGACTTTTTCAATTTCGTTTGTGGAGTACTTGGAAATTTCATCACAGTAAACATTTTTGGGTTTTCACGTTTGAATTTATTGGTTTTGTTCAGATTAAAAAATCAGTTTTTTGAATTTTGTGAGGATATGGAACAAGGTAGCTTAAAATGGTCAGAGATGAAAAGTTTTATGCCTGGAATTTCACATCTTTTGCAAAACACAGATTTCAAATTGATTGCGACATTGCTGAGAAAATCGCAAAATACGTTTTCTGTAAGCAAACAAGCCAGCAAGTTAATCAGCAAGAAACGAGACATCGTAGAGACTTCTATTTTTTACATTTGATTCGTGCTGCTCTATAGAAGAGCTGCATTGTTTTTAGGCAAGGTAGAAACAGCCGTTGCTTCAGAAAAAGCAAAAAACTTTCCTTTCTTACGGATTTTTCAAAACAAAAGTTCACTGTGATTTTTATAAAATTAAACTTTTGATGAAAAAAAAAATTTTAAAAATCTTTCAAAGAATGTTCGTTAAGCTTTAAACCTTCAAACATATGCTGAGCGAAGCTCAGCTGACGCGCTAGCTTCATACCTTCAAATTTATGCTGAGCGAAGCTCAGCTGATTCGCTAGCTTTATGCCTTCAAACTTATGGATAACTTGGGTTTCTACCCGATACACTAGTTCTTAGCAATTTTTGCTTCATTTTTGCTCCTTAGAATCCAAAATGGCATCGGTTTCACATTAAGAAACAGTCAATTAACCTCTATGCCAAATTACAACTTATAATCTCAAAAAAGTTCAAAGTTATAGCTAAAATAAATTATACATAGGTTTCCAACCCTTAGAATCCAAAATGGCGTCGGTTATATATTCAGGTTATATACCACTTAACCTACATGCCAAATTTCAGATTAAAAGTTTAAAAGATACAAAAGTTATGGAAAAAAAATAATTTGGTATGAAAAATGTATGGAAAAAAGTGAATAACTCCGTGAAAAGCTCGGAAAACTCGTGGAAAAATATGAAAATGGAAAAATTTATCATAAAACATCATGATCTATCAAAAAAGTGTAAAAAGAATGAAAAAAAAAGTTACTCACGGTGAGGCCTGAACCCGTGACCAATGAGTTGTGAGAAAATTCACCTTTTTAAGGGCTATGTAAAAATACGTATGTAAAACGTAAGGTAAAATTTCAAAAAAAGTTAATTTAATTAACCTTCCTTTCAGACGGACGGACAAAACGCAAGCAATAGCGTCATTTAAATTTTAAAATTTAAAATCAAAGTTAAATGTGTTATTTGCCAAAAATTTTACTTAAGATAATACAACTCGGTGGAGTAGAGGTAGCAACGCAGAATTTATCTAAGAACACAGCGGTCAGAAGTTCGAATCCCGGTAAGATTTATAAAATTTTCATTAATCATTTCTTCTTTCTTTCTTTCTTTCATAGCTTTGAAAATTAAACAGCATAATAAAAAAAAAGTACACATTAATTATGTAAAATAATAGTAAAAAAAAGTTTCAAAAAATAATAATTTTTATTTATTACGTCCTTTAAAGTACACTCGAAGTATACTCTTTTGAGAACATCAATAGTCAGATTAAGATGTACTTTTATGAGTATATTAAAAGTATGTCAAACTAAGTATGCTCATTTGAGCATATGTTTTATGTGCTTAATTGAGCATAAAGTGTGTCACATGTGACATGACACATAAAAAAATGTTTTATTTCAAGAGTGTGCTCAAAGTATAACTGAGTGAGTATGCTCTGGTGAGTACACTTTTAGGCGTAAAGTAGTGGCACAAACTTTTGTATGAAAGAGCATACTTTTTAGAGTACACTCAGCAAAAATTAGAGTGTGCTCTTTCTGTGCTCTTTGTCAATTAGGGCAAGTTAAGTTGTATAAACATCACTGTTGAATGAAACATGCATGGAATATTTTAATTTAATGCTTAAATAGAGGTTCCAGATCAGTCACGAGTAAAATTTTTAATTACTTGACTTTTAGTCAGAGCTCGAAGTCGATGAAATTTTGTATGGAATCGACTTTGTTATACAAAATCGATGAAAATCTCGAGTCGACTTGAAGCTCTGCTTTTAGTTGATAGAAGATTTATAATTTTTATCTTGAAACTGAGCGATACAAAGAAGTCAAATACTATTTTTATTGTACCTTTAAACTAATAGTAGGATCACAATTTCATTTATAAAGTTGTTGCAGCTAGGCCCCAGTCATTAGAATACTGCACCACCGAGTCAGTCAACTCACAATGTGATTTTATATAATTTTAATCCAAATTTATTAGAATCCCTAACATTAAATCATAGGTACGATAAATCTGCAAGCGATTTTAAGTTTTTCAATTTTAGAAAATCATCATGAAATTTAAATTAATGTTGATACTTATAACATTTTACCTATATATTTTATTCATCACATCCAATATTATTAAATATATTTATAAACATCACACATCATCATCATCATCGTAAACAACAGCATTATTTTAATAATTTAAGCATCAGCAGAGTCAAAGAGTAGAAGATAAGTTTGTTAAAATGCAATATAAAGTTAATCAGAAAACAATTTTACAGTTTTCATTTATGCACAATGTCACAGCAATTTTATTGTTTTCCCAGGAGCTTTATATAATGTATGTGATACAATTTAGAAATTCCAATAAATTATCAAGAAATTTATGCACAATTAAATTGAATATTAATGTGATGCAATAAAAGTCAAATGGGCATGAAATGAAACATAAATAGAGACACTAATTAGTGTCCATAAATTTTGCTGTGTGATATAACAATTAAATATATCTCTTGTGGGGAATCTTCAAGTATTTTTTGTCTCATGCTTCATGCCATTTTACATTAAGAAATGCGACTAGTTGACGCTTTTCCTCAGCCCTGACCTTATCAAGTGTACTTCGGTAAACAAAGCAAGGTATAAGAAATTCTATTTTTAATCATTTTGATTATTGACAATGGCACAGCATGAAATTAGAAATAATTCTTTTGTCTCCATTTTATGTCATCCGTCGGTTAAAATAAACAGATGAACATCTTTTGTTTGCTCATTTACATAAAATTTAATGCCGGTCTTCGTATTTAAGCTACAAAATCTGCTTCATGAGAAAGAGAGGCTGATAATGAAAGGAAAATTTACTTTTATGGAGGCAACATTTTAATTTCTTTGTACCTTGAAAATAACTTTTAACATTTTTTTTTATCATACTATTCATTTTATTTACAGGAAGAACATTTTTTGATTCATAATGCAGCCATAAGGTTAAATTTTTTGTTGTGCATCTTAAAGTATAGCCAATATTTTATAGATATATTGATTTTTAATTGACACTTTGATGGCTTTTAAACCGGATATTTATTATTGGCTTCGCCGTCAGAAAGCTCTAAACCTAATCAGCCCACGCAAGTACATAAACATGTAAACTTAATGTAGGAGCAAGTTATCAGCAGTTTTGAATCTTTAAAGTACCTTAATCTAAAAATCCCTAAAATGCAGATAGTACTGCCAAGATGTAGATGGTACTGCTAAAGTACAGATGAAATTTTTTTTACCTAAAATGCAGATGAAATGCTGTTGCTTTAAAAATTTATAATCCAGATAATTTTCATGGTATAATTTTACCGTACAAAACGAATGCATAACAAAGCTTGGTCTATCCATGGGGTAGTTTTCCACCCTGAAAGAAAAATTGTCTCCAGGGTAAAATTTTTTTTTACCCCGGAGTGAAAAATGAGTTAAAACGAGTCACAAGCGAGTGACAAACGAGCCACAAGCGAGTGACAAACAAGCCACAAGCGAGTGACAAACAAGCCACAAGCGAGTGACAAACGAGCCACAAGAGTGAAAATTTGTCTTGAGGGTAAATTTTTTTTACATCTGCATTTTAGTGAAATTAAATTTCATCTGCACTTTAGCAGTACCATCTACATCTTGACAGTAGATCAGACAAATCAGACAAAGCAGATTTGCCAATATGTTGGTCCTAGATTGCACTCGAAAAAAGTATAAGATTTGTGCGCTTACGTTACCAATAAAACCAAAATCTCGGATTATTTTTTACTATTAAAAAAATATGGAGATTCGAGAATTCCGAAATTGGCTGTTAATTTATCAGATTCTATTTTATATTTCAGCAGAATGAGAAACCTGTAGATATTAAAAGTGAAATCGCCAATGTCTTGAACTCTTTTGACATTTTACGATCTTGTTTCAAGCATTTTTTTTTTTTGGTGGATTTTATCATTCGGTCTAAAAATAGCCACAAGCTTGGTAGAGAAATGTTCGTCATTTTTTGATAATTTATCTTGATTATGAATCGATGAATTCACATGTTATTATTGACATAGGAGATAAGGAAACACAAAAAAAAATGTCAAAATGTTAAAATATCTGAATATGTCATTGAAAATTGAAGACTGCAGATTTTGTTTTTTGCTAACCCATTCAAACACTTTTACTTATTTTTTTTTTTTGTTTCTTCTCTCATTTATTTGTCTAACCGAAAATCCGCGAGAAAAAATAAGAAGATGATAAAAAAAAATTTGTTGACCGAATCAAGGAGAACAAACGTGTTTAAGCAAAAGGAAACAAGTTTTCTATCGAGAATTCATCTTCGACTATAAAAGAGCCCGCAATTCTTTTGATACTATCATATTCTGTTCTTACCTGGATAGTATAACATTAATACAACAAAAATGAAAGTGAGAAGAGTGAAATAAATAAAAAATAATATAATATTAGTTTTGTGGATTTAACGTATTTAATAATTAATTACAGTTCATCGCTGTTGCCTTATTCGCCGTCATTGGCCTTACTGCTGCTCTCCCCGCTGTCGACCCAAAGGATGCTGAAGCAACCATTGTTGATGGATCAGAGAAGGTAGCAGAATACTTCAATCCAGAGGGATATGATTACAAATTCAAGACCAGCAACACAATTGAAAAGCAAGAAAAAGCCGAACTCGACAAAGGACTCGTAACTGGAGAATATAGCTACGTCAACCCAGAAGATAAGTATCTTTTCTACTTCACAAAGAATTTTAATGAAAGTGAAAGTGAAATGTGAAGATGCTGAATGATAGAGAATATTCATAGAATATTCATAGAACTGTAATAGGTTTTATTTTTTTAAAGTGTTGAAATACTTTAAATTTTTTAAAATACTTCAAGCAGAAATTACGTCTTAAGTCATTCAACACGATTATGTCATTTAAAATTAAAATTGCACAAAAATTCATAAACAATATTGAAGGTTAACATTTGAGCAGCACCACGGTCTCTTAAGTGCTACTCATCTGTTAGAAAAATATACTGCTTTTCAGCATCGTCAATAATCTTTCACAAGCATCTCAAATGTCATATACGGCACTATTACATTAACCAATTTTTATTTTAAGCCAAACAATCCATGTCACATACACAGCTGGTGCAGGAATTGGTTTCTTCCCAAGGTAATTAACTATTTTAATCTCATATTGACCCGAAAGAAACTAATTTTAAAACTTTTTCAATTTAATCTCTAAAGATCATCTGACATCCCACAAGCCATCATTGACTCAATCGAGCTTAACTTGAAGAACCCACCAGAAGAAAAAGAAACAAAGTAAATAAATGAGCCAACCAATCGAACATAAATCTACTGTACAAAGCATATTCGTCTAGTTACTATAACATAATGTCAGTATTCATTCTCGGATCACTGCCAATAAATGTCTTGAGATAGCATCTTGCTCCTTGAGATTGTAAAATCCAGTTGCAATACATGAATAAAAAGAAAACTTTTTGATTGAAATAAACATAAATTTTAAAACGAAAATCTAAAGAACAATTTGTTGAAAAAGTTTCTATTGTATACTTTTTTAACATCAATTCCTTCACTCTTTCAGTTTGTCTTGCTTTTCAAACATTCTCACCACAAAACCGAAATGAAAAGAAAATCTTTCCAGTACGAAATTTTTTTTAATGAGCCATCGTTCAAAATCAACAAAGCGTGCTGTTCTTGCTTTTCCATTCTTAATGTCCAATGCTTCTCAGTAGTTTCCTCTTTCTGCCTGGAAACTGAAATGAGCTTAAGTGATGGCAAGAACTACAACATTGAAACTAAAATAGGATTTTATTTTTCCTAACAGAAAGCATGGTACTTCATGTCTTGAACGCTTTTCTGACACAAAACTGTGTTGACTGTTATAGGATGTAGAATTAAATCTGAATCTTGCTTCAAATTTTTATTTTGACAGAAAATTGTGATTTCATCTCTATTTTTGAGTTTTGATACTATGTCTTCTCTATTGAATTAAACAGCCAATTATCAAGTATTAAAAACCAGTCGTAAAATCAGAGAAGATTAAATGTTTAATCTTACCGCAAGTCCAAAAATAGAAAAATATCTTTTAATATTCATAAATTAGCATGAAGCAATCAAAAATAAATTTTTATGTTTTTTGCCGAATTTTAAATTAATCCCCAAAAATATTTTTTGTCATAATGACTAACTAGTCTTGCAGATCAAAGCATCAATTTCTGAAGAAAAATAAACAACTTTAACAATGAAGCAGTCAAACCACATGACTTAGAAAACGTGACTGTGTATTTTTAAAACGAAATTTGCATACTGATGCGTGATTTTTCAATATAGCATCAGCCAAACTGCTTTACAATTTGCAGACACTGTTCAAAAATCAGCACTGTTGAGATGTCTCTAAACTAGTTAACTGAGAACTGTAATAAAATTTTCCATGCAAAAATTATTGTAAAACTTTCATGCTAATTGAAAATGTAATGATGTTGATGATGATGACTGACAACGACTAAAGAAATGACGCTTTGATGAGGAAGGCGGGAATGTTCTGAGCTTCACATTTAATGGAGAATATAAAAATTGAAGCGATTTTATTTCATTATAAAAAAATGTATGTAAAATGAGAAGAAATGGAATTCCTTAGATATTCTATTATGTCCGTGTGCCTTTTGTATGAAACAAGAAGGATGAAGGAGCAGAGAAATAGAAGTTTCCACAAAAAACATCGTTAAAGTTAAGTGATTGAAATTGAAAAACTTTGTTAATTTACAAAATACTTGTAGAAAAGTTATAAAGCGAAAGTTCCATTTTATGGTACTGCTCATGTTGCCTTCTTTCTACACACTTTTTTTCTTCTCTTTTTTCACTTTCCTCACATTTCTCTTTTAGATTCAATGATGTAGAATATTACGCCCAAATCTCAATTTCCCGTAACGCGTGCTGTAATAGATTTCTTTTTTCAAAAAAAAGGCTTCTTTCCTTCATTCTTGCGATTGAAATTATTTTCCTTTCTTTTTTCGGATTGAAACGATAAACTCAAACATACATATGTGTACATAAGGCATTAAGTATAACCATATAAATAGATCTCATAAGAATCCTTTACTTTTTTTTTTTAAATAAATTTATTTTCCCTTTCCTTACCTTTAGATCTGTGTACGGGATTTATATAAAAAACTGAACGTAACAAAAGTGTTAAGCCGTAAACGACAATAGCAGTTTGAAACGAAAGAGAAAAAATATATATCTCAACACTATTTTATATGAAAAGTTTTTTTTTTTATTAATTCACACATATAGCATATGCTTCAAATTTATTCCAATACCAGACACATATCCACACGTGAGTAAGGAAAAGAAAAGTTTTATTTTTCACACTTTCTTTCCAATTTTATTACAACTTTAGCATAAAAGTGGTTTATAGTCCGAACTTTGTCTTTCTAAGAACATAATTTGATTTTGTCTATTAAGTACAGGGGATTGTTAACTATTTGAATACGTTGAATTTATGCAAATCGTAGACTGTTCCATTTTCAAGTAGGTGATGTGTAGATCTCCCAATAACTGCCATTATACTAATGTAAAACAAGTCGGGTCGATGGAATTCGAACCCACGACCTACAAAAGAGGCGATCTCTGACCACTCGATCAGAGATCCCTGCCACTCGGTCACCAAGGTACTTATCTTATTTCGGCTATCCGTCATACACATATAACCAGTTTCAATGCGAGCCCTATGTTCAAGCCTATCTACTCTTCGAGGAACACATGATGGATCATATTTATTTTTATTGCTTCACAAACAAAGTAGCAATGAAAGTTTGACTTCAAACTCATACCCGTTGCTGTAAAAATCAATTGTGATCCATTACTTATTTCCGATGGCACTTGAAGCTAGCGTTTTTACTGACTATCACTTTCCAAAATCATTAAACAGTTACTTTATCATTAAACCAAAACTGGCTTATCTGTTTTATCACTGGTTTTGTATTTGGTGATTAAAACTAGCCGCATAAAGTACTGGAGCTGGCAAAACATCAAAAAGCTTTTAATTATTCAAAAAAATTTCAAAATGCGCTAAAACCACAAAGAGAACTCAAATTTGTTTCCTTTTTTTTAAAGCACATACATATGTCATATAAAATATAGACGTTCAGCATACTGCTGTAAAATGGTCAGTTCAATTTTTCTTCTTAAATTGAAAAATTGAAAATTTATTTTTATTAAATTCATACTCAAGGGTAAGAGCTTTCATTTATCATAAAACTTATTCCTCTATATTTTATGTTATATGAATATAAATATCTAATATAAAGCAACATGTACAAGCAGCAGCATTGACACGAGATCCATTTAAAATCATTCTCAATTTAACCCTCCTTTAAAGATATGGAATAGACATATTGTGTGAAAGTAAGTGTTATTGTGGAAAATATTTACTAAAAGCCTGCATAAATGTGAATGAAGAAAAATCTCATTACGAATGAATGTGTTAAAATGGCATACGCCGAAAGGAAGAGAGAAGAAAAATTTGTGAAGGAAAAAGGCTTTTCATGTCATTACCGAAAAAAAAAAAATCTCCTTCCTTTTCACTCAGTCTGTTTAGACTCTATCGCAACGGCAATGTTGAGAAAACTAATTTTTTCACACTCATCCATTTCTCCTTTCATGAATGAATGCATAGACTAAACGAGAGAGCAAAAAAAGGAGCGGAAAACTTCTTCACGTCATTTGATCATAATAGGTTTATAATATACAGAATTTTTCGCACTTTAACATTATTTTTATAGTGCTCTTCGGTAGTTATAAAGTACACATTTCTCCATCTACATTTTGGTTATTATATAGAAAAAGTTTTTCTTTAGCTCTTTTCTTGCCATTCAACAACGAAATAATATAGATAGAAGTTTCTCTTCCATTAGTCCAAAAATGCTTTTTATGGATCATTTAAAGTTGTAAAGCAATTCCATTTAGGAACCATGTTGAAGAAGACTTTAAGTTGCATAAATCTACGTTAATTTTACACTTAAATTCATTACTATTCAAAACTTTGATATTGAATTTTTAAATAAAATAATTGTCAATTTTTAACCAACAAGTGTGAAAATTTTAAAGGCATTTGACAAATTAGAATTAAAAATCTTCACTAAAGTTTATGAAAAGCTTAGCAATTACTAGCGAGATTTGAAAAATCATGCCAAAAAATGATTCTTACATAATCAGCTTGAAAGATTCAGTTTTATAAAATATTTAATTCCGGCAGTGATTTTCAATTAATGCTCTTAAACACACCAGTTTTTTGTAGATGCATCGGATTAAGGTAAGAAAAACAATAAACAAACTAAGGCTCCCGCAGATTATAATCTTTAATTAATCCCATACGTTTTTAAAAGATTATAATCTGCAGGCCTTGGCTGGTGGCACTGTTATCCTGATCGATGATAGAATCTAACTAGCTAGCCTTGAAACATAGTCTAGTTAGATACAAAACTCGTAAGTGTTGGATCGAAGAAAATACATCAAAAAAATTTGCTGCTTTTTTGAGCTCAAAAAAAATTTAAGCTCCACTACATATTGGATATTCAATTAGCTTCGATAAAAACTTATAGATTCAATTATGTGTAACTGAATATGTTTAATTTGAAATTTACTTAAGTGCTCAATTAAGTCTCTATCAAAAATTATGCTCACATGAATTTTATCCCAAAAAAAAAAAAAATTCATTAACATGATGAAGAATGCGAAGCACGATGATGTTATCACATATATCCCTTGCCCTACAAATGAAAAAAAAAAATCACTGCTGAAAAAAGAGATGAAAAAAGGAAAATAGAATCATTGCATTGTTAAGGTCTCGGTTGGGAAAATATACATCTCTTACATTTAATCAGATTTACTCCAAACTTCCATGTTTAGGAATGTTAATAGAATTTATGAAATCTCTATTTTGTATTGAATTTGCTCAAAAATTTCGGAAAGGTCATAGCATTTAACTCCTTAAATTGAATTTATTTGGGATCATCAAACAATAAACACCAAACATTTTCTGGTAAATTGAATAAACTTGATTCTTTATCATTTATAATGCCTAAATATGTTTTAAAATGCAATTTAAAGCATTTTTGATTTCGATCATAGTAGGCTTTTTTCAAAAAAAATATCGATTTTATATCTATATTAGCATTCTTTACAAGAATAAACAGAGTTGATCTGCAGATTCCAATGACTGAGTTATATGAAACATTTTCTACAGCTCTTGTTGGTAGTAAATAAAATTAAGCCTGATTCTGAAATATGCATGTGATTCTA